TGGCTCACAGATCTGACTCCTTACTATATAGGCAGCTGCGAACCACAAACAGACAAGGTTGTGTTTGGAAACATGTCCTGATCCTAGACACAACAACTCTTTATTTAGGGAGCCACACCCAATCAACTGCCACCGTGTCCCAGTCTGGTTGCTAGGGCAAGAGGCAGAAACCTGCGAGTCCCAATAAGAAATACGCCCAGAAGAGGAATATCAGGAACTTCTGTTTTATCTACAAAAAGTGTCACACTGTACGTGGCAGTCACAAACTAGACACAGTGCAACTTTCCTGAGCTACCTTTGTCACATTAAATGACTGAACACTGGCGGGGCACAGCAGACATATATATAAGATTCAGCCAGACACAGAGCACACAAGCCACTTAAAGACACTATGGAGTTTGCAGCTAGCCATAAAGATGACAGAGCGTGTGGATACAAACTGTGACCTTGCTTCAACAAAAGAAAAGCGACCTGTGTCTACTCCATAAAAGTCAAATCCAGACAAGGCTTTTTTAAGGATGTAGTTTATGGACGCCCCCCGTTCTCTTAGTCTAAAGGTTGTCGTTTGCAGATGAACACTACATAAACCACTTACACAGGACAGGAAGTATACAAGACTGCTGGGAGAATAACGAGATAGGAAGATTAGAGAGATGGATAAAATGGCACCTTGAAGATTGACCGAAGCTGGTGCAGACGCTTGCAGCCATACAGCTTTGAATCCCCCACATGAGATGGAATAGTGTATGTATTATCCAAAAGAAAGCAATAGTGACTCACTGCTTGATTCTAAATATATGTATCTATATAAAACATGTTGGAAAAAATGTGGGAGCATTCAAAGAGGCTTACATCTATTTAAATGTTATATTGCTATCGACATGTTTTGTAAGACTTGATTTCTTCTTCAGGAAAGAACTTTGTAACCTTGATAAGAAAAGTGCCACGTACAAAAATATTAATATCATATTACAATATTGCAACATGTTGCTCTGATTCATTACTACAATCATAAATGAAGTTACTAGGGGTGCCCACACTTTTTCAGCTTGGGAGCTACTTTTAAAATGACCACGCCCAAATGATCTACCTACAGGGCCGCCCCTGCCCAACCTGTGTCGTGAGCGGGGGGGGGGGCTAGTGGACTAAACGGTGGATAGACTGGCGCGCTTACACCAATTGCGCCGCATAAGCGTATAATAGTGCGCCCCATTTGCGCTTCAGATGAGGAGGTGAGGCCCCCTCATAGCGGCATGAACCCGTATGGCACAATACAACTCAGACTGACTTACCTGTACGTCAATCAAGTGGCAAATGCCATAGTAAGGGTGGATGATAGGCTAACTTTAAAAAAAAAAAAATTAAATGTTTTTTTTTTTTTTTTTTTCAATGCCATGCGATCTACCCACACTACTCTTGCGATCGACCGTGATGATATGGGATACTTTATAACACCATTGCTCTTTTTTTCCCTTAAAGTTTGTATTTCCTTCCAGTGTCATTATATCTTCTAATATTCTTGGGGCTGCTCTTCATTTTAGGTGCTTCTATTAAAATTATGCTGACAAAACTTCAATAATGGAGTAGTGTCACTGGACTTTACACCTAATGAGTCATTAAGGTTCCTATGACAATGTTGATGAATGCAATCAATTGCATAGATTCCTAAGGGCCCGACACTGACCTTGTTGGCTCGATCGGCGTGGTGATTTATTGTCCTCCTCTCCTCATCCCATCGGACATTGGACTCCTCCAACTGCTTCTCCATTGCTTGCTGCTGACGAACAGCCTCCTCCTTCATGTAACATAAAGATGTCTGTAGCTCCGCAATTAACTATAGATGAGAAGAGACACAAAATAAAATGTGACTTTTACATTTTGAGTCGGAAAAGGATTGGCAGAAAATCAGCAGATGGAGAACTAGCCACATATTGTTATACCCAAAAAGAAAAAAAGATCTGCAACACGCCTATCTGCTCTTGGGAAAGTTTTCCCATTGCCTAACAAGCTCATGTGTTTTACGAACTTTAAAACAAGATATAAACTAAAAGACCAGAGTGCAGAGGAAACCTGTTGCCAGATGCAAAATGCAAAACAGGTTGACTGAACAAAATGCTGATTTGCTTTATTTCACTTGTCTCAGAAAATGACTCGTATCAGATGGAAAATGCTTTCGTCATTGTTTTTGGATGGCAGTGACAATCACTTTGAAAAACACTTTTTTTTTCCCAGTCTCATGTCTTTTTTGAGACAAGACAGAAGACACAGAGAAAGCAGAGAGAGAGAGCGAAAAAGAGGGAGGTTAAAACAAAATAGACAGGAAGGAAAAAACAACTTCCTTTTTGAAGAGCGGAGTGACTTTGTGTTGGTGAACTTGCGGTGCACACCAAGATGAAAAGAAACTGGCTCTGCTTTGAAATCCTCCAGTCAAAAATTAACATTCTATTTAAGCCACTGTCAGGGAAAGGCAGAGAAAAGATGAGAGGGAGGAAAAGAGAGAGGAATGGAGAGAGGGGGGGGGGGAGAGAAAGAGAGAGACATAGGTAGTGGGGGGGGCAGTGCTGCTGCTTGCTTTGGGCTAGACAGATAATTGTTTACCATGTTCAAACTCAGGACTAGCCCTGCTGGAATCTGTACATTGTGTGGGAGTTAGAGTAGCACGGGTCGAACACAGATAGACAGAGGCAGGGGGAGAGAGAGACGGGGGAGAAAGAGAGAGAGAGAGAGAGAGAGAGAGAGAGAAGGGGATAGAGAGATGAGAGGGAGATTAGGCTTATTTTGTCAGCAGGAAAGCCACATGAAAGCAACAAATGACACATTATTATGGGAACATCATTTCTGGGCGTAATAATTATTTTACAATATGGATTTCCTGCCCTGCTGGTCTTCAGCCCAAGGCGGTGGCGGCACTCTAAACATGTGAACTCAGCTGTCTGTCTTGTTATTCCTGTACATGTACCGTACACACACCACAGCACCTTTCTCTGTCTGATAGCCAGCCAGACCTTTTAAAGTCTGTAATTGGTCTGGTTAGACTTGTTTGGCATCTCTTTAGGGCTGAAGGCAGGCTTACCTCCCCATGAACCAGAGGTTAAAATGTGGAGATAAATGGGCGGGTCTGAGGCCTATTCACCAGAGATAATGAATAACGTATGCTATAAAACAATGGTTAAAACAGAAAAGAAGATGCTTTGCAATAATATATGAAAAGAAAACACTGAATGTATGAAATAATCAGAACCTCTTTATTGCTGCAAACACCTCACATTTGGCGAGTCTTTTAAATAATGAGGTGAAAACTCATTGTGACAGACAAATCATCAGTCTTCATGCATTGTAACAATCTGCTCTATACCAGAAAAGTGGAGCAGAATAGTAAATTAATCATTTAGGTAAATAAAACTAATCTGCAACATTTCTGAAATGATTTCCCACTAAATTTCAATATTTTGTAAGGAATTATTTGAGAGACTAAATGTAGTTTAAATAATAAAATAATAGCAAAGATAATGTATTGTCAGTCAATAACAAGGTATGTTATTGTTTAGTTAACTCTCAGTGATGACTTTATCACTTACAGCACATTTAGTCATGAACTTATGTTTAAAACGTTAATGTTTATTTAAAACTGTAACTGATTTTCACATACATATCACCAAATAAAAACATAAACACATTAGAATGAATTTATCCTTGTGTTTCAGAAGTCAAATATTCACTTCAAAAACATTGTTTTGGTCTCCACCTACTCCTGAGGGAACTATCTGGCTCTTTAGCTGCCACTATGTTAACTATGTTGTCTTTGTCTGCTAATTAGTGTTGGGCAAGTAGCGTACAGATCTTTTTCACTGAAAACTATCTCCTGCTATAACTGGAAACGACACTGATGAGAGTAAGTACCAGTGAATTTGCGGGCTGTAAACCCAAAATAAAGCGTGAATAAACAGTAAAAGCTGTGTTGAGCCGAAGAGTCGGGCAATGATTCTCTAAAGCTTCATCCCTACATTCGAATAAATACTTTAACAGACCCTTTTTGGTTTATACATGCCCAAGAGGTCACATGTGAACAATTATTCAGAAACAAATGAGTTATATTTGCATATGGAGTGAACTTCAACCCATTTCTTCCAGAACACGCACTGTGCCTCCCATGGCAAATTCCCTTCCACCTCCTACCTACATTACTCCCACGGTGAGACGTTCAGGGATAAAGTAATGATCTACCACCCACTGTAGCCTGATCATTAAGTGGAGGAAGAGAGCACAGCCCTGTTCAGTTCACAGGTCACCCAGGAGGACCACTCACAGCCAGACGCTTAACACACAGGATTGGATTGGAGAGACACTAATTAGGTGTGTGTGTGCGTGCGTGTGTGTGTGCGTGTGCGTGTGTGTGAGAGAGAGAGAGAAGGAGAGAGGCAGAGAAAGAGAGACAAAAGCAAAGATGTAAGAGAGAGGGATGTGTGTGTGTGCATGCATGGTAACATATACCCTTATGGGCTGTGTCTCCAGACCCCTCAGGATAATGTATGGCATGGTATGTTTTTAATTGGGTTATTAGCCATGCAGTTGGGCTGAAGAGCGATGCCCCCTGTCAGACACGGAGGGGTTAACAACTGGGGTTAGCCTTTGAGGTTCAAAGGCCTCTTGTTTACATTTGACTGAGCTGCCCCAAGGGGTAGGCAACAAACCCCCCCACCTGTTCCACCTTTTAAAACAAAGCCAGCGACAAATAGTCTGCATTAATCACGCTTATTATTAATGTTTGCTCAAAATCCCTGCACCTTCAACAGAACCCTCTGCATAACAAACACACTTCCTCAAAGGTGTTGTATTCCGGGCAACAGAGACTTCTCTCTAATGTCAGAGAGAGTGTTGTTTGTTGAACCCGTGCCAGCTTCGTGTCCCCAAAACAGAGGATTAATCACTTGTTGCTTTGTCTGTGGCGGCGCACCGCTCCGCCAAAGCGGGCAAACATGGCTGAACTTTCGCACAGCATCCGACTTCTTTTGAAGTCGAGCATTGTGTAACCTAATAAGCTACCGTTTTCTCACAACATCTGCTTGTCAACCCCGCTTTCAACTCTGCGCCTTTGCCAGCCAACCCAAAATAGGGGGATTTAAAAGAGGAGAAGAAAGAAAGCATAACAACAACCCCCCCCCTTTGAATCTCGTCTTCGGGTAACGAGAAGCAATTACGGCCAAATGATTGTGATATTTTACCCGGCTACATAATCAAGAAAACTCTTTTCTTTTGTAATGTAAACACTACTTAGAGGAGTTTGGGATCTTTTAAACTGATGAGGTTAAATCTGCCTAAACTTTTGGAGACATTTTGCTGAATGACAGAATGTGTCCTGGGAAGTTAAGAGAAATAATTACCTCAGTTTTAAATTGGCTCTGTCTAAGGAGACAAGCATAATGTGAAACACATGGCCCTCAATTGGAAGTGTGGACAGATGATGGCTGAGGCAGAGAAGCAGATATGGAGATGACGTAAAGAGGCATTATAGGGACGGGAGAGAGGGTGGAGGACAATTATAGTGCGATTAGTCCGAAAGGGCACAAATGCATCAGTGTCACTCAGAGACTTGCTAGCACAGTGAACTAGCTAAGTATCAGTAGCTCCTATGATGGACAATGAGAGCTACAGCGATAGCACACGGAAAATAATAGGCAAATAATGTTTTCTTCTACAGTACATGTTCTCAATGACGTTGGGGTTTGCTGATGTTAAATACAACATAAACGTAGAGAGGTAAAGAAGGATCAGTAACTACCTGCTTGAGAGTCGTTTTTTTCTTTTGTAAACTAGGTAGCAAAGCAATTTCCAGTGCACAGAACAAGTGTGCATTACAAAAAGTGCTTAACACGAGTAAGGTCAAGCATTGGGTGAATATTTATGTAGCACGGTTAGATTTTTAACCATTGGGGATATAAAGTCATTTCTGGCCACCTGATGAAGGTAAGCCTACTATTTACTTTTCTATTTAACTAACTAGGAGGGCCCCTTGCACAATAGCACTTGACTTTCCAGTTATCGCATATTGATAAGTGCAGCATGAAGGTTAACTATTTGTTCTATAAAGAGATCCAACCTATCAGTATAATACCAGACAGCCTGTCCTGACTTCACACAAATCAGGAGGGCCTTTCTCCTCGGTAACACCTCTGGACATAGGAGATGAGACGGAACAGGAAGAGCACAGAGAAACACCTGACAGCAGACTTTTTTCTTTTTATAACATTTTCTGTGTAGATTTATTTGCCCGAGTTCTGCACAGACCTTTTGCTAGTTATGGGATGTGTGTGCAGTGTGTGTGTGTTCTGCTTAAGGGTAAAGCGCAAGGTGGATTGCCGTGTGTGTAAGATTGTGTGTGTGTGTGTGTGTGTGTGTGTTTACGTATGTGCTTCCTCACCTCTCCCATGAGTACATTTATCCAATCTTTAAAGCGTCTCAGTTGAAAAAGAGGCATACACAATGAAAGAGGGGGAAAATGAAGGGTGGAAGAGAAAACTGATTACCTGGGCAGACTTGGCGAGCTTCTGACTGTACTCCTTCTCAATCTGCTTCAACCTGCTGTTGGCCTGCAACATGAAGGGAGAGCGGAGTGTGAGAAAGAGATATGCAGACAGACAGATAGTGAAACACAAAGAGAGAGGGTTGTGAAATTGAATCTTCTGTTAGGAAGTGCACACACTCCCCTCTAAACACACACACACAGGCAGGCACACACACACACACACACACACACACACACACACACACACACACACACACACACACACACACACACACACACACTCATGTTGACCTCTGCCTCCTGGCAGTGTGTCCCGGCAGCACTGGCCTGTGGCCCCTTGGCACAGCGTCAGTCCCAACGCTCATGTGTGCCAGCAGGTAGTGACGGGCACGGTGCACAATGGGCACCACTCCCCTTTGATCCCATGCCAACAATTCATCACTTTACAAGAAGGGGGGCAGGCGGGGGAATTAAAACGTTGATGCCAATTAGCTATAGGGAGAAGAAAAAGAGAGATGATCGGTGGAAGCTGGGAGACACAACACGGCGGAGATGGAATGGGAGTGAATGGGGATTGTTGTTAGGAGTTTATTGAGCGGCGCTCGGCTCTTTGTTTTCAGTCGTTTCTCTATGGGAAGCTAGCCAGCTGGAAGCAAAGACTGCGAGTGTCTAATACAAGATCTGCCTCCGCTCAACTAGCTGTGTTGTGATGCCAGAGTTTCAATGAGAAGCTGAAAAGTGGAGTGAGATAATTAGGTGTGAAGTGCTGGAATTCGATGGGGCTGTCGATGGCTGCCTGTACGCACCGTGACACAGTCTATACAAGCACTGTAGTTAAACTAAAGCTCAAAAATAATGGGGGATTTACAGTAGGTCATTGTTTGAAAGGCAGGGTAGTTTTGCACACAATGTAGACAATATCTGTTTTTTGTATTACTGCACATATTTTATTTCATTATATTTCAATGGGAATACTGCTATATTTCTTTTTTAATGTTATTATAGCTTTCTTAAAATAGTTCTCTATCTGTGTTTTGAATTTTTCTTTTACTTTTATGTATGCACCACAACACCAAGTCGAATTCCTGGTAATAAACGTGTTTATGATTTTTCTGGGGTTGTGGATTAACTTAGGCTATGCCATTGATGAGCCAGTGATAAACAACAAAGAAAAACACCTCTATGGTTTTAATTCTTAGTTGAAAAGTAAAAAAGAAAGTGGGAAAAGTATCCTAAAAACACCAGGCATGGAGAAATGTATTTATAAATGTCTTGAAATGCGGTAAACCTGATTCATACGCAAAAACGCATACAGCGACCAACACACACACCTGCTTGACTCTCTCGCCCTGACAGCCACTGACAGACGGAGAATCTCTAACAAACACGGTTTCATTGAACACACCCGACGCAGCCATCAACACCTGAGCTGCATTTGGACTCTGCACCCCATCCAAACACTTCCTGACAAACACCGCCGCCCGGCTCTGAGCGGACACAACTGTCACCGCAGAAACACAGAGCCGTCACCAAGGATACCAGCCTGTCTTCCTGCGCCAGGGCTCTGAGTGGCAGCCCGCTCGTCCCTAGGGGCCCTATAGCAGCTGATGAGAGAGGGGGAGACAAAAGGAGGGTGTAGAAGAGGCGAGAGAAAGAACTGTGTGTGGGAGAGGGGCGCAAATCGAGTCCTTCAATGTTTTCTTTTACAGCTGACACATTGGTTGTCTCCTTTTAATCCTGCCGACTGCTCCATCCTGATTACAGCTTAGTTGAAGATACTATCGACTACAATCTTGGGCGAAATATTTCATAAAAATAACCGAAAAATATGTTTTCTTAAAGTGGTAGTAAAGGATGAGACTTCAATGTTTCTCAGTAGTGAAACTGTTAACATCAACTAAAGTTATACATCAGATTCACCATTGTAATTGACTGTGAGGTAATGAGGTGTGTGTGACTCTCTACTGTAAATGACACACGTGAGTGTATTCGTGGAAACATATGGTCATATTGAGATGCAGAAAGGTTCAGATGTTTCATAAAAACATAAAGGGCTTGCTACTAGCCTATTCCTTTTACATACAGTCACTCAGGGGGGTTTAGCAGGAAGCATTGCACCACATCATATATTATACAGCGCAACCATCTAAACACACATTCAAAATGGCTGGGAATAGATGAATATGTGGATAGAACATGCAATGAGAAATAGCCTAGCAGAACTGTGACAAATACAAAGGGAGAATCAGAGCTAAATTAAAAGCCCAGCCGTGTGTGTGTGTGTGTGTGTGTGTGTGAGTAAGTACTTTCAAAGAGACTACCTGTGCACTGCCAAAGGCATTTTTGTGCTGAAGGCACTTTGAGGCTGTATCAGGCTCTTCAATCGCCTCTTAATCCTAGCTGTGTGGAGTGCGGCTGCTTTGAAGTGTGTGTGTGTTTGTGCATGTGTACGGGTACTTGTGTGTGTGTGTGTGTGAGTGTGTTAAAGAGAGTGGAAGTGGATCTGAAGGCAAGGCATGCACCGCTTACCAGAACGTAATTAATAATCTGCAGTGGGAACCAGGCCAAACACACACACATAGACACATACGGACATGTGCACACTAAAAAGACAATTGACGGGAGTGGCGGAAAACGTGTGACAACTTTACACACACACACACACACACACACACAAACGCGACACATGAAGGCCAAACACACATTCAGGGTTTGATCTGTCAAAGGGAAATTTGCTTAAGGTGTAGAGTCTCATTTTCTTTGGAATGGACTGTTGTATTGTTGCTAAAGGAGGAAGAAACCAAGGTAAACATTTCTCAATAGAGTAAACATGCCAACACATGATAACTTGTGAGTGAGTGAGTGAGTGAGTGAGTGAGTGAGTGAGTGAGTGAGTGAGTGTGTGTGTGCGTGTGCGTGTGTTAGTTAAAGTCAGTGTGCCTGTTTTCAGAATTTCCAGAATCTGTTCAGTGCACTCAATAGTACTGGGCAGGATATTGCCTCCATATGGCATTCCCCCCCCCCGATATGTTTCCAATCATCTCACATTGCTAAAGAGCAATTATGGTTTTGAGTATCTTCTTAAAGCTGAACTGAAACTGACGTAATGGCGATGTCAATCTCCACAGACAGAACGAGCACAATGTGACACGCAACTGACGGGTTATTCGGTAAAGAGCATGGAAGTTTCTAAAGTGATGAAGAATGTCACACACCATGCTCTTTTTAACGGTTTGAACAACAGCTGTGTATTGAATAATAGGGAGGGTTAGTTTCTTTGCAAAAAGAACATGATTTGATAGAAAAGCTTTTCCCCATTGCTCCGCGAAGCATTCCATTTTAGTGGCAGCATTGTAAATTCACAACAATCCTCTGTTCACTACGTATGTCTCTCAGAACAATTATCATAAGAAGTCAATCTGCCAGCGAGGGAGAACTGGGAGATGTTGTTTGCTCGTTTGTCTGTAATCATTTCTGTCTTGCTGTGTTTGCCTGTGTTTCTATGCGTTGGAGAGAGTGTTGGTTCGGTAATGACAAGAGACTTTATTTCCATTTCACAGTTTGCCATCACTGCCTGTCAGTACTGATTCTCTTAATCCCCGCTGCTCACTGTCAGTTCAGCATCACAGGAAGTACAGAAATAATGCATCACACAGGCATGGATACACAGATAAACATACACACAAGAATCAGTATGCTCAGTGAGTACACACTCAGCATGATCTCGGTATCAGAAAACCAATTACATCCATTACCATCAGCGTGAGTGGGATTAACAAACTAACCCAAATCAGAAGGTCAGGAAAAGAAAGGTAGTTTGAGGTTGTGAATGCCTCATGGGTGGAGTCGCTTGTGGAATCACAGATTGCTTTAACATAAGCAGGTGGACCGACTTTCAATCACAGAAAAAGTAAAGTGTCTAATTTATGCTTTTCTGTGTACAGATTTGTGTGGACAATTGACATGATTGTTAAAGGTGGGGTAGGTAAGTTTGAGAAACCGGCTCGAGATACACTTTTTGTTATATTCCATGGAATGCTCTAAACATCCCGATAGCAATGAATATCTGAAGTGCTTTGACAAAAAATCCATAACATCTTTTATCTGTGGAAGCCGTACTGTAAAAAGCACGACCAATCAGTTAAGCCGGCCCGGCTAAAATAACTGGATGGCCTGCCTGCCTGTCAGCCTTCCATCTGTGAACAAATTTATCTCGTGCCCTCATTGGTCATGTGCTTGTTCGTGTGTGTTGGAGGAGGAGCTCTGTAAGGAAGTGGCAGATTTTTTCCAGTTGTGTATTTTCAAATTCTAGGGCACTCGAGCTGGTTTCTCCAAAATTACCTACCCCACCTTTAAGCTATGACAACCATATTTATGCTAAAGGTGATTTTACTGGTCGTTGAACTCTGATAGAACTGTGATGAAATTCTGACTTCCTGCCGAGGTAGACCAAACTCGCATCTATGTATGCCTCCATTCCCACTTTGATCAGTAGGTCTGCCTGATGTTCAGATGTCGGATGAGTTGAATTCGGAACCTAACCCAAAAAAAACAGAGCCCAATATCATCGTGTCCCACTTAAAACTCCACTTCAAACCAAAGTGTAATCTATAGCGTGCAACAAGATGGGAGCTGCCTGACGCCATGTTTTAATGCGATTGAGAAAGTGTGTCGCTTCCCTCCCTCTTTTTTGGATGACTTCAAAAAGTGAGCAAGGGAGCTGTGTGATGTTTTTTTGGGACGGCAGAGCCTTTACTTTGACTCTTTCATCTGCTGGGTGACTCACTCACTCACTCACTCACTCTCTCACTCTCTCTCTCTCTCTCTCTCTCTCCGCCGCGGGGCCCGATGGTGCGGCGCACTGAGGAAACGAGGAGCTCAGACAGATCTGCGCATGCGTACAT